CGGGCTCTTCTGACTAATTTTAAATCCCATTTTTGTCTGCTTTGCCCCCAGATGGGTGCCCCTGAATCTACAGAGATGATCCTGGGCCATATTGACACAATCCCACCATTTCTTGGCCCAAACAGACCCCTCTTTTTGAAACAATGGGGGTACTTTTTGTGCGCCTCGGCCTGGCGGAGAATTTTCCTTGAATTGGGACACTGCACCCTTAAAAGAGTTTTTGGTCAGTCCAGCATACCGGAAACAAGGAAGTCGTATAAGACGCGGCTATAGCTGAAAAGCCTGCAGCTAACACCTTGTGCATCACAAGATACATGGGTGATGAACCCTTTTGAACGTTTTCATTGTCACTGGAAAGATCATCCAATATCCAAACACGCTAGCGTTTTCGGATATGGGCACTGTGGCGAACTTGAAAAAATCCCCGATAATTCATCATAAACATTTACGAAGGTGATAAATTCTAGTAACTCGTCATTACCTCTACTCACATACCCATGTAAGAGTTTATCAGGTTATGCAAAAATTAAAAATCGGTGAAAATAAAATTTTATTGGAACTTCGTAGCATAAAAGAAGAACCGAAATCTATTCATCAGAATATTGGAAGTTCAGTATATTTTAACCTATTGTGAAATTCAAAGTAAAATATTGCTCCGGTTCCAGGAAGAGAGGCAAAGTGCGCCCCATTTGGGACCGCGCCACTTCAGCGTGAATCAACAAACTGTTGTAAAATTAATGTACAGTGATTCTACGCTTGTGAACGCCAGAGGGCGTTCTTCAAACAAAATCAACATGGCGCTTTACAGAAGAGCGTGTGTACGTGCACTTACTTCGTTGCTGCAGCTACAGAGACCAACATGGGTGAAGAGTTTGTTTCCAATCAGTGAAGCCACTGTCCGAGGTACTTACATTAACACCCAATAAAGTCAATGGTCTGTGTTTGAGTTCAGTCTCAAGCTAAAAGTTTAAACATGTAACAATGAACTCGGGGCCGGGGACTGCCATGACTGTAAATTTATCCTGTCACCTGCACAGCCCCACTAGTGTGGCACGGACTTTCACTCCCGATCCATCCTTAGCCACACATCCGTATACCCACTTTCGTGTCGGCGTATTGAACATTCCGGTGCACCCACTTATCATCGTGGGCGCAATTTCTTTTGCACACGAACGTGATTCTTGACCTTTCCGCTTTCTAAAAACCATTTATTGAATGATTTCACTTGCGTTATTCAGGTATTTTCCAGTCTTTTTGCCTCTATCCATTCAATCTAATGGGCTCGCTTTCTCAGTCGCCATCTTTAAAATAAGGTCGTTGAGCATTACGTCACTTGACCCCTCATCGTCTCAATGGCTGTTCCATGTCAAGATACCTAAACTGCTGCCAAAGAGTTGGAAGAGCCCATTGGTACATGTAATATCTTATGCTCAGTCCGTGTATTACATATGTCTTGACATGGAACAGCCGTCGAGAGGATGAGGGGTCAAGTGACCTAATGCTCAACGACCTTATTTTAAAGAATTTGCCATAGGCCCACATTTTTTATTTCCAGAGCAAATACTGTACACAGAAATGATCCACGAAATATCAAACAACTTAAGTTAAGGAGAAACCTTGTTCTTTTCAGTGATATACTTTTCAATGTAACGATCACGGGCGCGGCCACTTTGATCTTCAGTGTGTGATGTCATGTTCTCATTTTTCGTTGTTTTTCATGCGAGAGTTGGGTCATGTAAACAGTTCTTGTGAGATTTGGACGGAGAATGAAACAAGTTTTGGATGGAACCAAACTTTGACTAATTTGGTGTAGTATTTTGAAGGAAGTAAAATGATCTTCTACAGAGAAGATGTGTATCAAAAAGGGATTTTTTTTCCTTAAATACAAACATATTTTGGTGAAAACCTACTTAAAAGGAGGCTGAGGAGGCTAAAAAAATGATTTTTTGGAACTTTGAACGTTACCTAATACAGCAGTAAAACAATCGTGACACCTTTGTACCGGTACATGTATGTCACACTGCCACCATGACCACCTCAAAAAACGTCTACATGTATAAAATGTATCATTTTGGATTATGCCTGGAAAATACGTTTCACGACTGAGAGTGCGAAGTACCGGTAACATACATGTACATGTATTTTCAACACACATGGGATGCGCATCTGAAAATGAGAATGAAAGTTTTTACGAATAATGTTTGATGAATATACACGTAGTCTACTAATGCCTTGGCTTTCTGTCAGTTTTAACAAGTTTCTTTTATTGGACTAATTAATAGAAAAATGTTATGTTATTGATTGATAGGAAAACATTTTTGAGCAAAATCAGGAGTGAACATACAAGTGGCATATCATGCATTGCTGTATACACGCATTTGACACTGCTCATTTTTGCACCCAGTCTTTTGTTTATGCATGTCCTCTTGAGTCATGAACTGTACACCACCAAAAAATATTAAGTGTCAGAGACTATTGTGTGGGGTTGTTCGTTTTGTTTCCTCTGGTACCAGATTTGTTGGATTTTTTCTTCAAAATAGACGAAAAATTGGTCTTGAATTAAATGTGTACATGAAACTAGAAGTGGTGACCGAAAGTTACCCCCTTCAAATTATCATTAATTTTGCCAGAACTTGTTGACGGAAGAAGCTATTGATGTAATTGTAGTACCATTGTAATAGTCATTTGATAAGCTTTCTAATGACACCAAATTTGTTGCTGAATTCCTGAAAAATGCAAAAGGTGTCAGACTCCCTAACTTAGGCTGAGTATAATAAGGGAGAGCTACATTTTAATTTTTGAATTCAACTTGGTACATGTAAGTGACTGTGACATCATGCTCAATAACTGTAGGGTTGATTTTGTCAAAAAAGGGCAGTGTTTGAGTTTTGAGGGAAATTATGCGGGGAAACCATGAGTGTTTTAACACATGACACGTGGTGGATTCAAATTTGCATGACTGGTTTATCAGTGAAAAAGTCACATTTTTCTCACAATTTACAATGAGACATTTCCAAAAATTAGGTCCGTGCAATGAAGAAAGTGCTGCCTGTGTTTTTTGGGAGAAATTACATACATTTACCAGTTTTGCAAGATTAAAATGACAAAAAACAAGGGATCCTCCAGTATACAATTCTCATTAACTCGACGTAGACCTATGTTCCAAATCCAAGTAGGCTAGGAGAGTGAGGGGCCTACTCACCATGCTTAGTGCAGTGTGTCTTCGCTGTGACATTGGAGCCATTCAACAGTCATGATTGTTATTTACACGGGGTCACCATGCTAGCTACAATAATGGACATTTCACAATGCTCGTATTATTTCTGTTATGATGTCTTCTTAAAAGGCTTTAAATTTGCATTCAAATGATAGGTCTCTCACCTCCGGCTACTAGGCCCCCTAACAGAAGTTATGATAAAATAATATCTGTATGTGTGCACCATCGCTCCATTCTGGCAGTCGGCATGATGCCACTACAAACTTATAACACATGGCAAAGGGGCAAATTTATCCTTCGTGCTATTCAATAGTGTACTGAAGTTCCTGGATGTCCGACCACGCGAATGACCAAGCATAGGGCCTATACACCTAGGCCATAGGTTAAATACTTGTGACCTAGTTGGTATTTTCAGACAGTTTATAATTATTAAATACATATTGGGAAATTACATACGATTTCAAATATCTGTATCTCGTGTACAATTTGAAACTGAAATTGGGGGGGTGGGAACCAGAATTTCTCCCAACTGTGGGGGGGGAGGAGCCTCTCAGTGTCCTCTTCCCCTCATTTTAACAGTGGAGTTGAGCTGACGATGATGATGTGCAAGGTAATTAGTAATGATAACCACCGCATGGTTCAGTTTTCTTTGTTAATGCTGTTCAATCCAACATGTACCACAGGTAAGATAAAAAATGAAACCAAGGTACATGTAGGGGAGTTCAGTCATATTTGTCTGAAATAGGGATTGCTGTGAATATTGCCATATCATTTTGTGGGTCGAATATGTAATTTTTGTAAAAAAGTTTTACTGCGGATTCGAAGATTTTTTTGTCAATTTTCAAGGTACGTAGATTCTGCAAATCACACGCACCCTATCGGTATTTTCAAGGTCAAAAACGATGTTCAACCAATAATTCCAAAAATAGCTTATCGGGAATATTGTCACGGGGTCCGTGAATCTGGCTAATAATGCTGTGTATTTTTGTAATTGTGCAAATTCCACTTTTTTGTGAAATTTTCCCGCGAGAGCAATTGTGAGGTACATGTACCTATAGCTCTTGAAAATGGCTGGTGCGATAGTTTCAGACCATAAGACTGAGTATTTTTGAAAAATCTGAATTTTTGTATTTACCAATCTCTTGTTTCCAACCCCACCGTTTGTATTTATCACATTGTGCATGCATGGTATTTGTTTTCTTATCAGGGAATACAGTGATAGGGCAGAGAACATTGCTTACCGATGCCTACAAAGGAACGAGTGCGTGGCGGACCAGAAAGATTTTAGCTACGAACATGGGTAAGCCTATCATGCTTTTTTGATTCAAGTAAAACAGATTGTCTCGGTCACCCTGGAGTTGGCCAGAATAAATGCATACTTTTAAAGAGCCAAGACTTTTAAAGTGTTGCTACTTGAAATCCTTCCTAGTTTTGAACCTTCAAGTTTGGCCTCAAAGTTTTGTGAGGCATATGTGGGGATTTCCGTACAGAATCCTGTGTATTTTTTTTTGGTTGGGATAGTTAAGCAGTCGTAGTCCAAGCCCGGCCTTCTTGTGCTCTGTAGATTCTCTTTTTGTCATTTCAGAGCAAAGCAAAGAAACTATCAAGCACAGTTAATGTACACTCCTCAGTTTTATAGGTGGAAGGAGTTTACTGTTCATTGCATTGTGATTTTTTAAATTGTTTTCTATTTTTCATTCCTTTCACTTGAATTTGAGGTTGTGGGATGCTGTGACTCGCACAACAAAGAAAATAATCGATTCAATGGCCACCTTTGTAGGTATAATTTATAGGGGGATGGGAATTTATGTCCTCTTTGAAAAACAGGATGAATGTTTCAGGTGTCCTGTAAAACAGCCACAAGTAAGAAAGATAGCAATGAATGCAGAAAACAAACAACACAAATAAAACAAAATTTTAGCACGGCGTTTTTGTGTACAAAATTCATTCATGATCAGGGTCCCTTGACACAACAATCCATTCGCCTTTTGAATCTCCTCCGCTGGACAGCTTTAGAATTTTGTCAATTCCTCTTCTCCCGTAGCATAACTCATATCCTCTATGGCTATTTGACAGTTGAAAATAACCTGAAACCTTCAACCTACACGTACATGTATATTTCAAAGTGGACATAAATCCCCGTCAGTCCATTTACTGTATCTCTGGGCTGTACTTGTACCAGTATGGCTACAACATGTTGAATTGATGTTCATGCTGCACAGATGAACTGAAGATCACACTGGATGCAGACTTCTTTGACTTCAAGAAACCTGTGGCCTCTGTGGACCTCCATAAGGTCAGTCTTGTTGGTAAATAGCAAAAATCTAGTTTGCCTTTGGCCTCTGTGGGCCTCCATAAGGTGAGTCTTGTTGGTAAATAGCAAAAATCTAGTTTGCCTGTTGGCCTCTGTGGGCCTCCATAAGGTGAGTCTTGTTGGTAAATAGCAAAAATCTAGTTTACCTTTGGCCTCTGTGGGCCTCCATAAGGTGAGTCTTGTTGGTAAATAGCAAAAATCTAGTTTGCCTTTGGCCTCTGTGGGCCTCCATAAGGTAGTCTTGTTGGTAAATAGCAAAAATCTAGTTCACCTGTTGGCCACTGTGGGCCTCCATAAGGTGAATCTTGTTGCTAAATAGCAAAAATCTGGGTTGCCTCTGGCATGCTTGAAATTAAAAGCAGCGGCTTTTAATTTAAATGTGTGATTTGACTCATGACTTACACAAAGAGAAATATACATATCACACCTCTGTCTTGAATCGTTTTATCATTGGCCCAGAATCAACAATAGACAAGGCAACAAAAATGCATGTCACTTTCCCCAATAGACATCACTATTGCAGGTGCTTTATCACATGCATCCATGTACCATCGCACTGTATGAGGTAATTCAGGGACCGCCATCTGCTGATGTTCGAAGCTTACATACCTTTACCACTCTTAATTATTCTGAGAATACAAGGGAAAACATCAAGACAGAGACGACCTGAGGGTGTTAAAACATATCCCTTATCCCAGCAGTGAACAAATATGAAATGTACATGTAATTTGCAGAAAAAATGTTCATAGTTCATTAGCTGTCCAAATTTTATAGATGAGAAGAATTATTGGTATGTTGCCCTTCATTGGCATACTTTATATTCACTGTATTTTCAGTGCTTTCCCAGGAATAAAAATGATAATAATATTATCGGAATCTAAGAAAAAAATTCACAGCCTTGCTTTGTTGGAACTCCTTGCAGTAAGAAATCTTGGCTTTGAGAAAAATTGCTTTTTGAAAGACATCCAGGGTGTGAAAATAATGTGCTTGTCAGAAAGAAAATATCTCAGGGAAAATATTTGTACAATGTACAACATACAAAACAATCTTATTTCTTTTTGCATTTCTGATTTCTTTCATGCAGTTCATGGACAACATTTCTGATGAGCATGACCTGAAGTCAGCCGAACAATATCTGTATTGGTATGTACATGTACGTGTAGATGTTGCTTGAATCCTGTCGGGAGAGCCCAAACTCACCCTTTCCCTTTTCAATAATTACCGTCTGGCACATGTCATTTTTTTCCTGAGCTGCCCACCAGCGTTGTCATTTCATTTATCCTGGTCAGTGAGATTGGGTTTATCTTTAGTATCAGAAATTCACAATATTTTGGCTCACAATTTGCCTAAATGAAGCCACTTCTCAACTTTAGTCATTTGTTGGATGCACTCTTTGTAGGACTATGCATACTTGCCGGGATCAATGAGACAGGTTTTTGGTCAATAAATAAACCAATTAGGGCAGAGCTTCCTGTGCAACAGCGCTCCATGTTCATTAGCGTGCGTGGAATTTTGGACTTGCCCAAATACAGATACGTTACATGTACACGTCCTCATTTGTAGTCGATTTCCACAAATAAGGTTCATAGACAAGATTTGTTTTCACCTTTTGACTTTCATGTCCATTTTGTTCTCTCTGTTGGAATAGGGGCGATTCATAATACAGTGCGTCACTTTCAGTTTATGGTCGACAGAAGCATGGCTAGCTTGCCGTAATTTGCATTTGAGCATATGTCTGTTGGAAACTAGGAGAAAAAAGACAAATTATAAACTGCTACTTGAGATACACTTATGAATCTCCTTCCCTGACAAACAAACATGTGTAATAAATCAAGTTCCCCGCTAGCATTTCGTCAACTGAATTTGTTGACTATTTCCCAAAATGCACTGTGAAAAGTGGCCTTTCCGTGGCAACCTCTTGGTAGCAAGCTTCATATGTATATGCCTACATTGATTTCTATGCTTTTCAAGACTTATTTGAGGCCCTGTGAAACTCGGACCTACTTCCAATATAAATGAAGACTTGCTTTGTCAGGTTGGATCATACATGTGTTTGGCTCTTGGGTGGAGCCAGTGCTCACTGGTGTACTCCACTTCTGGTTGGGTGCCCGGCTTTAGAAGAATCTACCATGATACACTATGTAATCCTCTACAAGGGGAGGGCAAGGGGGATGCTGGCCTCCTCCCCCACAAAAGAGAAAAATAAAAAAGGGAAAAGAAGGAAAAGAAAAAGCAACAAGAATGAAAAAAAGGAGGAAAGTGAATAAAGATCGCCAATTTGTTTATAAATATCTTGGAACTGACCCCTTCTTTCATTAATGGTACATGTATATCAGTTTGCTACTGATGAGTGCTTTGCCCCCTTGTGGAAAAGGTCTAGCCCCCCTGGAAAAAAATGCTGGCAATGTCTGATTTGTGATCATCTGTAAGCCACGATTTCAATGTCATTTGTCTGTTTGAGAACATTTTCCTTTTTGTTTTTAATAATTTGTAGTCACCGTCACTCTTCTGTGGCCCATCATCTCCGAGCATCCACCATGCACAGCTTCATCAGAACATGCCTGGATCTAGGACAGGCTGACACAGCTGTGAAAGTCCTCCAGGACAAGGTCGGTGACCACATGTTTTGCTTTGCAAAGAAAAACATGTTAGCTTTTTTAAGCGTGTTGAGCGAGGCTACCCTTCTATAAGCACACTTTTCTCTCCATTCGCTTTCCGCATCTGCGTACTTCATTTCTTTCCCATACAATGTTAGTCAACACTTTCCGCCACTTACACAAACGGACAAGAGAAACAGGAATTAGGCACCATTATTACCGTGACAGTAATTTTGTTCTGGATATGTGGACCAAGGATGTTCCAGCAGTCTTGTGAAAGTCCTCTACAGTCACATGAAACACAGTGCGCATCACTTCTGTCCCTCTGCTTTGACAGACAAATTACGGAGTGTTTCCTGACAACTTCACCTTCAACTTACTCTTGGATGACTACTTAGAGAGGGGGGACATCAAGGGTGCGGCTGCGGTTGCCATGGAGATGATGACACTGGAGGTGTTGACCGACGAGGAGCCCCTGTCCCGGCTGCTTGCCCTGTATTGTTGCCATCGGTACTTGAAATCAGGAGACAGCGCAAGGGTGAGAGAGTGTTGAGGAAACTGCATCGACACAAATTTTGTCCGTTGTCCACAGAGCTCATTTCGTTACAAAACTAGGGTTGTTTTTTGTGGAAACCATCTTACAGTGAATGTAGCACCGAGCACTCATTAAGCATAGATCTTTCTTGTTGGACGCCATCTTTGTAGGAAAATTACAGTTCCAATGTTTTATACAACGTTGACATTTGCACGTGTGCACGGTGTGCACATGTTCTATACTTGCATTCATGCTGATTTAAATATCTTTGACAAACAGTGCAGCCGATGAAGTAAAACAAATGCCGATGCACATGGCAATCTGTAGGAAGTGATGTCATTTGAGAGGGACCTGCAGGTACAGAGCAGCCTTTGACTGCATGTGTTTGTGTGCATTAAAAGTGGAAATTGAAGCTCACGAGTCACCATAAGTCAATTGCTATATTATATTTTGTCCGACTTCAAAAAGTCCCGGAACGTCACAGTAGTCATTGTAACAACCCCGCCGTTGGATGTTCTGTGGAAATCTCTTCACCTCCAAATGTCATTCCCAATTAACTCGCATTATTCCACATCCTGCTGATTCCAGCAGCCAAGTGAAATGTAATTTTCTTTATCGTGCAGGAAGTGATGCATGACTTGGGCATGACCTTTGCAGATGCCACCAGGGGTCAGACTAGTCTTCTCTCCAGCAGTTACCACGCCCTTGGCCTTGTGATGGCGGGAAGGTTAAAACAGGCTGCTAGATTCTTGCAAGCTGAGGCAGAACGGACAGGAGACGGTGGACCCTGTCTGGTCCAAGAAGTCGTAAGTAGGGCTGACATTTGCCTGTGGGTTACAGGGGTCGGCAGCTGAATTCATGACCTTGGCCGGAAAGCCCGCCCTCATTCAGGTTTAGCTGGGTAGTTCTCTCGAAGCTTTTGACATTGAATTGGTTGCTGTGTTCCACTTTTTGCAATGTTTGCTACAACGACCGGCCTTTAACCTGGACATGTACTGAATTAACTATGAAACATCCGAAACAAACCCAGAAGTTACAATAAAGATCCAACATGCTGGCAACTTTTATACTCAGAAGCAGTTGCAGTGCTGAAGGTTCTGCCCGAGATGACATTGCTGTTTCGCTCATCACGGTGGAAATTTCCCTTAGGCATGCTAAATTTTAACAAGGCCCAGTACCATTTTCAAAACTACCCCAAAATAGGATACATAGATTCTTTCTGTGGATTGCTTAAACATTTGTCATAATGCCCCTGAACCTTTTTGGTGAGTTGTTGCACCCTCCCCAAAGTTCTTGATTGGCAAGAGGTGAATCCACTAGTTCTTGAAGACTGTCTGAACTGGAGAAGACAGATTATATACATGTTTCTCTCCGACATTGCAGGTTGAGGGGTTGCTAGCTGTGCCGGAAGAGCAACCAGACGTTGAAGAGGAGCTGAGGGGCCAGTTGCAGGTCAGTTCATAAGGCGTTGGAAGCTCTTCTCAGTTTAGCCGGTTATTTGTCTCTCCTGCATTTTTTGCCATGCATTTGACTGTGTGAGCAGTGGCTCATCAGCAGAGATCGTTGGGCATTGTTGGGCAAGTTCAGATGCTTACTGTGGTGAACTGTTGCACTAAGTTCACTCCAATGTCCAGTGCGTCTAGCCAACAAAGCAAATTAATTAGCACTTCACGGTGAGCATGATTTTATACTGCCTTGTTTTCAGTCAAGGGCTCCCTTGATTATTAGGTTGCTGCTGTCTATAATGTTATAGAAAAGTTGTTTTCCTAAATTTTATTTTTCTTTCTGTCTCAAGGAATGTGTGTCCAGGCTGCAAGCCGAGGGCAGAATATCGGCCGAGTCGCTGGACAGCCTGGTGACGACAGAAATCCTCCCTGAGATCCAGAGGCTGCAAGCGGACCACACCCACGCAGAGCAGTACCCAGAGATGCTGGCCGAGTGGCATCGCCAGCACGTGGAGGCCGTCCGGAGGCAGATCAGGGCCGCCCAGGAGTACGAGATGTCTCTGAAGAAGAAGAAGTTGGAGAAGCTCCTGGAGGCCACAGGAGGGCTCCGCTACTGGCTTCAGAAGGAAGAGCGACGGAAGGCGGCGGCAGATGCCGAGGCGGGGAAGGAGCAGTCTGGGGAGACAACAGAGGAGCAAGAATTGGACAAGCAGACAGTGTAAAGGGAAAGAATGAAGACCAATGGAAGACAGACTGAACCAAACGGTTGCTTACAACATCTGATACATGGCATCCTGCTTCCATGTTGGACGGTGTGAAGATTCCTCCAGCTTGCATCGACCATTCAGCCATTGTTCATTGTGCCTTCCTCACATGGGTTGGATAGTGGGGCACACCATTGAACACCGACCGCAGGGGGCTTAGCTTGACTTCAGCAAAAGCACGCCGATACCTCTTCGTTCATGACTTGCAAGTGGGAAAGCATGACTTCATTGAAAAATTAATTGGCACACTCAACACCGTGTAGAGCAGGTAATTCAATCGTTTGCTTGTAGTGCGGGGGTCCAAATCTTTGCTCAGTCATCATTTTTGAGTCTGAGTTTTATGAAGTATTTCCCTTCCCTTAGGAGATATGAGACCCTTAAATTAAATGCAGCTTTATTTAGCCGCTTCAGAACCATCAAGCTGATTGTTTGAGGCCAAAATTAAAAGTACTTTTCCTCTTAATTTCAAAACAGCAGAAAAGTGTTTGAAACCGATGGTGGACCTTCAGACGAAGACAAAAACAGCGATTGTGCTAAGATTTGGCAAAGAACCCACATGCTGTACAAGTCACATTGTTAGGTGGCCATTTCCAATAAGCCAGTTTGGTATTCCAAAAAGACAAGGTTTGTTGGGAAGAAAGCGAGTGCGCATGTTAGCGTATGGCTGAACTTACAGGACAGCCTATCGTGCATGCATGTAGCTATTCCTGAATAGCCTCTCACTGGGTGTGCACTGTTGGAATACCAGACATTGTGCTGGAAATGTTACACTTAAGTACTGCCAGTGCTGGCCCAGTAGAAATAAAGTTTGCAGGTGGTTGAAAATATAAGTGTTTGTGAGGCAAACGTTGTGAGTCTTGTGGTGTCTCCTGTGGTATTTGGCCCAGTGCCAGGCAAAACAGCAGGCCTGTACTCATCTGCCTGAGCTTGACCATGCGTGCCGCATCGTCAATTAGACCTCTCAGACCTTTATCCAGTCGTGTGCATACCGTCAAATTTGCTCATGCCACATCATCGAAACCCACAATCTACATGTATTCCCGCGTGTCGCTAGACCATTTTGAATGAGAGGGTGCCATGTGGAATTTGCTGATGGACTGTCCCGTAAAACGAGTACTGTATCCCCCTTCCTTTCATCTTCATTTTTTTTTTTCATTTTTTTTTTTTGGCCGACAGGCCATGATTTTGCTAACAAAAACTAACCAATGGGACCAACGGGGAGGGAGGGGTGACCCCCCGACACCCCCCAGCAACATTGATAGGTTTGACAGATTCTAAAGAACCAAATTACACTAAGACAGAGAAACAGCCGTGTCCGTGTTTCCAAGTTTTAAGCATGAGGGAATGTTGAAGGTCTTGGAGGCTTGTACCAGACATGCCAGTTTTTTCTATTACACATTATGTAAAGCATTGAGCAAAATGAAAAAGCTCTACTTTAACCTGAAATGTAACACACTCAAGAAGCTTGAATGAATCGGCTACATGTGTAAAATGTACATAAACATGTACATGTACTAATTTAATCATTTAAAACACTTTCTTAAAAGATGATGTGCATTTCTTGAAGATATTCAAGTGCATCCGTAAGTGCATCTTGATTTCTTGAATCTTCAGACAGAAGATAATACTTATCTGATAGAGTGGCCTACCATATTTGGAAAAACGAGTGACAGAAAATGTTTTTTTGGATCTCTCTGAAAGAGCACCAAAGTGGTCATCAACAACCGTGCTGTAACAATAATGTTACAAAATGTCTTCCATGCCACAGATATTGCAAAGGGCTGTACAATTAAATAAAAGTATTAAAAGTTGACATCGAAATTAACAAGCTACAAAAACAATTAAAATCAATAGAGAGAAGTACTGTTTAAAAAGATGAGTGTCTAAGTTGGCTTTAAAAATTTCAGGAGTCTGCAGATCAAATTTCCATTGGTTGCTTATTCCACAGATAAGAGGCATGATAATTTGTGAAGGAATGTTCACCGTAATATTTAGTCATGCCAAGTAGTTGTTCTTCAAAAAAAACCACCCCAGAGGTGTCAAATGCAGAGTGCGTGTACTTGATTTAACACTGACTAGTTCACACATACATTCTGGAGCTTATCCGGTCACGATCGCCAGTTTTATCATCTCAAGTTCAGTTACAAGTCATATCTCAAAACCATGTCATAAGTAACAAGGTGAACAACGAACTGATTTCCTCACCGATCATTTGAATAGCTCGGGTCTTGTGACTTGTGCCTTTTTTAGGTCACACTTGTGTTGAAGTCACATCTTCAGTTCTATATAATGACACTCGGTCACAATTCAGACAAACATCTAATTTCAATTGGCAGACAGCCTGTATTATAATTGAGAATTAGGATAATTCCAAATTAAGCAACTTAAATGTTGCTCGAGAATATCTGCATGAAACTGCCCCAGCAAAAATCAGTCAAAGCCTAGAGGATTACTTTGAGTGTCTGTGCTCATTACTTTGTCACTCGTCTTAAAAGAGGTTGATTTTATTAAATTCCCCACAAAAATTCAACCAGGCTGTTATTCCAAATCAGTGCATGAACATGTACACGGTGAAGATCTAATTAGATACCGCATACATGCACTTGCGCCCTCTTTCGGTGGATGTCGCGTAATTATGCGTGTTGTTGACTGGCGTGTGGCGCTGCGCTTGCGCGACAAGGCTACACTGCAAGCAAACATTACACCGCGGTGACGGTACGGGAGCAGAATCAGTTGCTCGATTACGAAGACACGGTGACGGAAAAGTTTTCCTGCATGACCCGGCTGAAAAGGTAAACGATTTAAGCGCTTTGAAGAAGAAAAATTCGCTCGGCGGAAAAGGGGGTGGGGTGGAGGGAGGATAGGAGGGTAGCATGCTGTAGCCACCTAGCCCCAGACTGGGGGCCAGTCTACTGAACCCCCTCCGTGATTAATTCCGGGTCGTTTTTCAATATACTCAATTCGTCTACGTCTCAGGTTCGTTCCCAAAACCAGTCCCCGATCGTGGGCCTGAAGCGTTTAAATTAAATTGGATTACTGTAATTTTTAGCTTTCTTGCATCTTATTTGATGTTCTGTGGCACTATTAGACATATTACTGCGCTTACAGCTTCAAAGTCAGCTAGTAAATAAACAGTTGAAGCCACAGACGGCGCCGAATTGAGGCCCTGGCATTGGTAGTTCAGTAGACTGGCCCCCAGTCGGGCGCTACATGTAGCTGTAACCATGATGAGTCTGTGATAACATCAGGCCTTGTTTATGACAGCAGTGGGTGTGTGTTGCACAATCTTTTGTCGTGCGTCTCGGGTGCTTGAGAGGGGAGTTCCCTTTTTATTTCAGTTGAAACATTTATGCTTTGATTGTTTGTATAACGTAAAAGACGGCTAAAATGTTGCATCCTGACTCCACTTTTCTCATCATACATGTATATCATCTCAATAAAACTTAAAGTCAGTCAAAGAAATGCTGGAAAGACAGGTATTCTGGACTGAGATTGAGAAACATTTACCCATGCTGTTTGGAAATACTGAGAACATTCTCTTCACTCCCATAGACTTTGTACACAACTGCTAAGGTGGAGTCATTATTTTTTCCCTTAAGATCACCAAAACTTTATCTTTGAATGAAAATTTATTAAAGAAGATGCATGTCGGTATTATGATACTTCATGGCTAGATGCAGTTTCTCAAGCCTCTATCAATGTCTATTCAGTTATTTTAGGACCATAAATAAATTTCATGACCACTGGGGACCAAAGTTGGCTTTTTGAAAGGATTTTCATGAGAATTAAGTCTTTCACATTAATCCCACCAAAATCAGGAACAGCAAAATCTTTGACAAGTATCCGTTTGTGTTCAGAATTATGCCAGTTGGCGCTTCAAGACTAATGCGTGACTTTCGTGTTCACTGTTAGAAACAATGTATGATCATTTGAAGTGTTCACGTACACATGTGGGTCAATTTCTGCTTAATTTTTTTTGTGAGTGAAGCCAGCAACAACACTAAATTTCCCTTAACATGTATGAGAGCCGTCAGAAAGTGATAAAGTGAAATTCAGCTAAGAAAAGTCTGAAGCATTACTTAGAAAACACAATATTTTTAGACAAGTCTCCTATATGTAGGTTTATCTGTAGGGCCTCTTTCCGGACTGGTTTTGACTGATTGCCACAGTGCATGGTGATATTGGCAAAATGATGCGTGCAGTTTCCTGGTATTTAACTATACCTCAGAAACTGCAAATTCATGCAGCAGTAGGTTTACTCTGTCTCACGTTCCATGTGGCATGAAATGTGTGTGCATTCATGTACAGTAAGTGTAATTCATAAATGTTCCCAATAAACATGGGCTAATGTTTAAATGCAAAGACTTCTAAAAAAAGCTCTGTATGGAGAGTACATGTATGTACAATGTAGTGTACATGTACAGTGCTAGTACGGCATGTTGTTACTCGGAGAGGCATACATAACAATCACTTATGTACATGTACAAAAGTAACTGAATCTTTAAACTGAAATTTGGTACTTAACTTCCTCTTTCACATTCCATTGCATTTATGTTACATACACATGTACATGTATAATACCCGTGCATGTTGCCATATGTTGTGTACAAATTGAATGTACACTCAGTACTGTGCATACCAGCTTTGCTAATTATCTGAGCACATTTGATTTGTAAATCACCGGTATCCTGTACATGTATACTGCCGAGTTGTGTACATTCATGTATGTGTGCATGTTGTATCATCAGGCAGCTTCCTGATGTGATGTCTAACATTTAACAATTGTTACCTGCAGTGTGGGAGTCCATGGTTTTTCGTACACCCGAGGGAGCAAATGGCACTCGATGCAAAGCTGAGATTGCCATTTGCCCCTGAGGGTGTACAAACCCCATTAGGGCTGAGTCAATTCAAATAATTCACTATTTGAATATTTGACCTTCAATTTGATTGAATATCCGAATATTTGGTCATTCTGACGGGCAGATTGTCAACGAACATATACAAAATCAGTTGCAATAAAGCAAACAATTGTACATTATAATCACCCTAATAGCTTCTCACATCTAGGAGTATCTCCAGCCATGATTTACATGTAGCAAGAAACTTCTTGTCTATTAAAATTTTTTAATGAATAGTTTACTTTTTGAATCGTAAGATTTCTGTCGCTTTTCATTTGAATCTGCTTTAAAAAAGCCTCCACAGTGTAATTTTTCTCATTTAAAACAAAAGAAAATTCTCCCTTTGTCTTCATGAATTTTGCATTTGAATATTCAATACTCTATTGAATATCTGGATATTTGGTATAGCCCTAAAACCCATGGTGCCCATCACTGCAGGCAACAAATTACAATGGGAGACTTTGAGAGGCTTGGTGATGGCAGACACAACGGTCCTTTTTGGTTGATGTGGGCATGCACGTGCATTTCTAGGCATGCCCGTTATAGATCTGAGCACATGCACAACTGCGAAAAAGGACCGGTTTGTCTGCCGCCACCGTGCATCTCAAAGCCTCCAATTGTTTGTTATACCAAAGTCATTGATTTCTCTGGAACGGTCTTCTACATGTGTAAGATGCATATACATGTACATGTATATTTTAATGCAAGATAAATTAAAACACTTAAACAAATTGAAACACTTGAACAGCAAATTAGATATTAAATTTCAAAGAAAGTTATTGATTGTGATGTTCTTTGTTGACCTATTTTTCTTTGAAGGCGGGGAGAAATCTAGGATTATAACAAACTTGTTCACTAGAGAAATCTGCGATTCATATTGAGCACTGGGGGGTTTTGTTGACTGGTTGAATTTCAAGACAAATTACACCACATTCCGTTGAAAAGTATAAACAAGTTTGAAGAGTAGACAAGAAGAGTCAGAACCAATGAGCATTTTATCTGTAGACACAAATGTAAACAGCAATGGCGAGCGCAGCAGAAAAAGTGATCAGACCATAATCGTGTTCCTCTAGCATAGCTGGGAGCATGAAGTGAAGTTTAATAACCTGCAGGTCTCTGACAAGGTCAGAGTAAAGAGAGTGGCACATGTGAACAGACAGTGTTTTAATGTCCACCACACAGTGCACATCTCCTACCTGTAATTAATGGGCGTGTAATGCGCGCGTACATGTATAGTACCACACTGCGACTATCCACCTTCGTACCCAAGAGTACACAATTACAATGCAGTAGATTTGACACATCAACTGTGGGAAAGATCACCGTTATCCATCACTTTTTGCAGCCTGGTAACATCACCAGTGCGCTCGACACATGAATGATACATATATACAGTGTATGTGCACATGTGCTCTTGTAGCATGTCACATGATCAATTCGAAACCAATAAAAATCCACTATCTACAGGTATGACCGTGGTATAGCAAGAGTTTTTGTTGCCCTGTCACGTGAAAATACAACATTCAAGACAGGTATTACCAAAATGCCAGTCTGCTGTCATTTGAGGGAAAGATACAGTAATGTCTGTCATGTCCTTCATGTTTTGTCTGGTTATTCTTTTGGCCTGTCATCTGGTCTTGAGCTTCTATGATAGATCCTTAGAGAATGGTGTCGACACTTCATTAGCAGAATCACAAGCCACAAAACTCTGTAAAATTCTGAAAGGGGGAAAATGGTCCATATCACAATATATGTCACCCAGTGTAAGAAAATCAGTCGCCCACAAATCGCTAGAGCAACATTAACTACACGAATTTCATCTAGAGTCCAAATTGGGTTATATAATAGTAATACATACATGTATGTACGTGTACATGGGTAACAGTAGTTCCAGAAATTAGGGGTACAAAAGTGTGACATTTTTGTTAACTGGTACGTGTACATCTGACTTTTGTTACCATATTTGACATGGAAGTATCACTGGAATTCATTTCAAACTGTTAATACAATGTTTTTGTTTAACAGGCAATTTGCATTAATTCATCACTCCTGGAAATTAGAAAATGTGTTCAGAACATAATCATACATGTATGTCAGATGTGACAGGGACTCGGAAAAAATGGCCCCCTAATTTCTGGAATTATACCCACATACATGTACCTAGTTCATCAAAATAAAAAAATTTTGTTGGAAAATCGATCAAAAAGACACATGGCACAGCTGCGCACAGTTCCTGGAATTGACTCATTATGCTGCCATATCTGTGTAGTTGTACATTGTGCATGTGTGTAATCTGTCTGGAACCAGCGGTTGCTAGGCAATGTTAGTGGTGCCTCGTCGGATGGTCCTAATTTACTGCACTCTGCTATACATGCTCATCATTGGCGAGCATTTTTCTTGCAGGATATTTCGCATAATGACATTGGTACACATGTACATACATGTACGTCTTAGTATGATTTTGTAACTTTAGAACACATTCCTTAATTTCCAAGAGTGGTAATGCCCTTTATACGTACATGTACATACATGTACCCGTCAAACAAATAAAACAGTTTGAAGTCTATTTCAGGCATAATTTCCGTGTCCAATTGCTCAGGTCATGCTCAGGTCAAGTGTAACAGGGACACTGAAATGTCACACTTTTGGCACGTTTAATTGGACCCGTTTTTTTACAGAATGACCCAACAGTGCAAGCACAGTAACGTGCACACACTGGGCTACACATACAGTGTACATGTGCATACATCGGTGTGTATTTTGCCTTGTCATGCTTGTATGGATAAGATGGGTTTGTCCAAAAGGAAATTCTACCAGCTCTGGAATGTCTGGCACACTCATGTTTCCAGCTAGAGTTGCTGTGCAGCAGTGTAAAGGCTTGTGTGCATAATGAGTGCAGACTTTGTGAATCATTGAGCTACATGTACAAACACTAATGTATACAGTGTGCATGCATATGGTGCATGTGTGCGGAAACTGGAATTTTCTTTTTGGTGAATTTTTCGGAAAGGTTGCTGGTTATATCGTGCAGTAGCTGCCTACATGTACTTAGGGCTGAGTCAGTTCAAATAATTCAGTATTTACACTGTATCTAGCATTCCATTTTATTGAATATTTGAATATTTACTAGCTCTGTAGTTACAAGTTTAACCCAAATAGAAAATTTTTAAAAATCCTTGTTGACATCACAGAAAATGGAGAAATTGTAGATTAAATACAAACAGCAATTGATATTAAAAAGCATGTAAAAATGTTAAGAATTACCTGTAAGTATTTTGTGAAGACAAAAATCAACTTCTTTTTTTCAAATTGTTCACGAACAATATACACATGCACATCGTTATATACATGTACATGTATGCTGGAGTCAGGCCTGATGATCGCATACGGCACATGTACACATACCGTACATGAGAGGAGAGATCGGTGGGCATTGCCAGGGTTTTTTTCTTAGGGGTGATCTCCGGGGGAGGGGGAAGAGGGTTTATCAGGTATTGGAAAGGGTCAGTTTTGAGGTATTTTTTAGCAGAGTGATGAGTTTCATCTCCTTTAATTTGTTTACATTTCACTTTACTTTTTCTTTTTTTCAGGGGGCAGCCTCCCCTTCTTGACACTCTTGAGCAGAATTAATTTCCTGACGGATTCAAAGATGAATTCTGCAGTTTTTAAATATCGGACCTCTGAAATTTCTTTCAGAATTTTGATCGCTGAAGTCTGAACAGAAGCCACATCTAGTACATACTGCAGGACCACGTACTGCGTAATCAAATAAAGCAGACAGAGCCTGTGTGACCATGCTGTCGGTCGGCATCCAGATCATTGGTTGGTTTCTCCTGGCAACACTCTTTGCCTGTGCAGCACAGAACAGATTACCCAGATATCCAAGTGTTGAATACTCCGCCAGAGTTACATTTAAAGGTATAACTCATAAGTTAAACTGCAGCTGTTTTTATGACTAAACTGAAACGCATGCATGTCTTCCTAAATTTTGCATTAATTAACCCCTTTGGATAGAATCCGAGCTGCAGACCAAAACTACTCTTGGTAAAACAAGCTCCTTCAATACTAATGGAGGTTGCATTATTTGAAAGAACCCAGATATATGAAGCTGAATTGCAAGTGTTAGGTACGTGTATACATGTACATGTATGTAGCCCCAACTGAGAAATGCCAAGTGCCAAACTCTAATAGGCCAGTTTGGTACTTCAACAAGCCAGGCTCATTCGGGAACCAAGCATGCACGTGAGTCAGCGTATGCGCTGATAGGACAGACTATCGTGTGTGCACGTCCATGTAGCTGTTCGCAAATAGCCTTGTACATGTACTGAGCATGCGCTGTTGGAATACTGAACTGACTCATTTTATTGAGAGGTCATCCCTTCCAACTAGCATAATTCCTTGTTGGTTCACCTCAAGTTTTGAGTGTTACAGACACAAATTTATAAGGCGTGCCGGTTAATTTTAGGTTGAATGTACAAAGAGGGTTCATTTCCTTTATAACAAGGGGAAAAGCAGGGAACTTTGTGTTTTCACCAATTAAAAATTGTAACGGTCTGTTACGGAGATTTTTCACATCTGTGATAAACCCTGCCTAGCGCAAGGAGTGGAGAACGAAAGAGGTCCACATCATGCAGGTTGTGCAGACCCTGTGTGGACCAATCCAGTTCCACACAAGGTTATAGCTTTCTGGAAACTGTTTTAGAGGCATTTTAGCGTGTGGGGTATCTGAAATAAAAGAGAAACACTCAAGGAATCCATCAACAAAAATCTAGCATACAATTGCATTCACAGTGCAAGTAAAATAGTATTTTCGTCAGGTTTTGTGAAGTTAAGTACACGTACAATGTACAGTGTACGTGAGTATTGAATACATGTACAGTACATGAGTATTGAGTATGTGTACATGTACAGTACGTCAGCAACGATAGCAGCGTGAATTTATTGTTGAAGACGGCATGATTTTCATTGTTCTCATCATTCCTTTATATTGTAACATTTGCATTTGATTAGCAAGGTGCCAGTTACAGTGTATTTTACGTGGTTTTCACTCGTTGGAAATGCAGTGTTAAGGGTCAGTTTAATGGGCCATCAGAGACACAAATAATGCTTCCCTGCTTTCGTTCATTCCCGAATTCATTGCTTTGCAGGCTTATCAGATGCTCAGATGTTGGAAGGTTCACAGAACAAACCAGGGAACTACCGCACCCTTGTCTTCAACAAGGATTTGTCGCAGCTGTACATCGGTGGCCGAGATGCACTTCATGTAGTCCAAGCATCCAATCTTAATAATGTAAGGAGCACATTTACATCACAGACTGTAGATGTTAGTTGCGAAGTCGCAGTGTTATAGTTCACAGAGCTTTGACTACAAGGGGCTATTTTTTATTTTTAAAAGTCAGGTTTTTCAAAATAATTTTTGCAAGCACACCAAGTTTACAGCAGTTACACTAAGGCGTGAGGTCAAAATACAGACGGTTTAGAAACAGTTGAACGGTTGGTGTTAATTTCCCTTCATTCCCTCCGTCTTTTGGTGTTGGACAGTTCAACAGTTTGAAATGAACCGTCTGTCCTGGACTGTCTAGCTTCACGAGCAACCCTGACAACAATGGAGTTTGTGGCTGCACAGCCATAGTTGTGAACAAAAGATCCTATTCAGAGAGCTATTGTTATGACTAATCACCAGACCACAGAAGTCTATGATGCCGTAATGCGATGAGCTGTCCATTGTTTACTGGAAGCTGCAGAGTGCAAGGTGTACTCGACCGCAACGGTTCGGCCAGCCTCGCTGAAGCGTTCGTCTGTTCGATGTTGACCGTTCGTAGGGCTTACCGTTTACAAAGCGTTAAACGCTTTCAAAAGCGTTTGTATTTTGACCTCACACCTAAGGACATACAACCCAGTACTATTAGCTCGTGTATTTACATGTATTTGAAGGTTAGTCCTATGGAGATACTGGCAATTTTCATCATTGATTAACTGCTTCAACAGTGGCCTAGGACCCTGCCTCCACGCCTACCCCAAGAGTGAAGTGCCTGAGTTTAGTCCTTCATTGCCTAGGCATTTGTTTTGATTGCCAGGAACTCTACGATTACTAATTCACTTCTTAAATAATTGGGAGTGCCTCACCCTGCAGAAATCAGCATGAATGTTGGTTAGGGAAGTGCCCGTGATCTGTGTACTAATGAGAAAGTCTATTCTAATAAATACAACATTTTGGAGAAGTGAAATACACATGTATCTTATCTTAAAATTACAGATTGGAATATTTAATTTTACCACAAGCACCATCTGTTCTTCAGGCGACCCTAACAAGGTGAGGCCGTTCATCTGTCTTTTATATGTACACGTATCTGTTAATCTTTGGAACATTCCACAATTTACATGTGATGTGATTATTAGGCTCATAATTGGAATCAATGTTGAATCTTCATACATGTACAGTAGTACACACTCCAACATGGTACGTGTACCGGCCTTACATACATGTACCAAGTATGGACCCATGAGCGAAAGATGTCGGTATAAGAACCCTGTGTGGACCAAGCCAGGTTATTACCCACTCTCTGAAGAACAGTCTTTAAAGTTTTTCGGGTTTAGGCTTATTGGCAGCAAAAGGAAGAGGAATAGTCAAGGAATCCATCAAGAGAATTCCATGTTTGGCAATGCATGTTTGCAGTGTAAGGAAAAACAAGCATTTTCACTTTCCACTTTCCACATGACAAAGGAATGTCCATGCCATGTACCAGTACATGTAGGTCCATTACATAAATGTGCCTTAGTTTTTCCTTTGTATTCAACACATGTCAGTGGGAATTAAGTTCACAGTTTTGGCTGACCAGTCCTGGGAAGAATGGGCATTTTGCCTAAATGCTATGTCCAGTTTTCACAAATAGGAGGCACTTGAGCACAGGACATCAGTTGAAGTACATGTACTCCCCAAGGCTTAGTTTGACAAAAAAAGCATGGCAACAATATTTGGGAAAAAAAGTAAGTTTACAAGAGGATTCTAGGCTCCCTGGCTTTTTGGAGTTAATATATGTTCTACTCCAGTCTACCACACGTCCCTGTTAGTCCCTGCAAGTCACAACTCATCCAGTCTCCAACCAATTTACAAGCTATTCAAATGATGTGTGACAAAAGCATATTCCTATGTCATTGTTCACCCCATTACTTGTGACTGGACTTCTGTGAAAGGACTAAAGGATGGACTCGCAGTATGTTGTAATTTCAGCCAGTCCCTGGTTTATTTACCACAGTGGATGACAAGTTTTTGGAAACAACAGGAAGCTATTACAATAAATTCAAGTTTTACAGTAGGTTTCCTCCACCTTGTGTGTTTTTTGGGTTTTTTTGGCAGTGTTACAACTACGTGAGCATTATTCAGCCCCTGACTGATACTTGCCTGTTTGTCTGTGGAACCGATTCCCAGTACCCAAAGTGCGTCTTTGCAGAGACAACGGTAGGTCTATTCATCTTGTCAGAAGTGTCCAATGTACTGTAATGCTGCAAGTGTCCAGAGCGGTTAGGAAATCTTTTGCCAAACATCGATTTTAGTTCAGATGCACCTGTATGTACATGAAAACTTGAAAGAGTTTGCAACAAGCTGGGAGTTCAGTAACTCCTCCCACCCCCAGTTATGAGAGACTTGGTTTTCAATGCATTTTTCCTAAACTCTTTTTGTTAAGTTTATTCAACAAGTTATTTTAGAATTCCAAAGAAAAGTACATTTACCAACTACCTGTACATGTACAGTACTTTTTCACCTACCAAAAGCGGATCCTGTTTGTGTGGACCCAGGTTGAACAAAAGGATCAAAAGATGCATGTGCGAACACGTAAAGAGAAAATTAGCCAGCATGTTCAAATGGGAGACCCATGCTTTACAGAATACATGATTGGATCAGATTCTGAGTAAATCATGCCATTTTTTGTCTTTGAAGTAGATTCCACCTCCAATTGTAGCATTTGTATCCACTCAAAGATTGAAAATTGATATAAAGTCAGTGTTCTCAGGGTGGTGCACATTGGCTTGTTATTTACCACACATTTATGCACCTGCTTGGCCAATAGGACATATTTTCCATCAAGTTGTTTCTCAAGATTTGCAAAACACTTAAAGATCTGGCTATTTTCCACAATGGCGAAGAAATACTATATGATTGGTCACCTGACGGGCACCAGTCCGGGTATAGGTGCAACCATGCAAGCTTGTAAGAACAGTAGTTTCCATACTTGCCTTTCAGTGTGCGTTGAGCGACGACAGTAAGCATTGAATTGGATCACAGCCTTGGCCAAGTGGCTACTGGATAATTGCCATGCATGATGTTAATCTGAACATACTTGTACAGACACAGATGTATTGAGAATTTTGCATAGTCGTGCGTACCGTCATGTAGGATGTTCCACATTTGCAGTGATCCTCAGTGAATTCTCACCACATGCTTTTCACAGGTATTGGTACATACGTGTACATGTACATTGTGCAATGTGTGGAGACACCATGTACACATGTATGTACTTGTACACGTGCATATACTCATTCATGTTTGTACAGGAAATGCTGGGAACATATTGCACTTCCGTGCAATCCGGGGTTCGCTGGACACCTTATCCATTTTCGTTTTAGTCGCTTGTTGCATGGTTGCATTCCATATGCTACCAGCACCAATCAACATCCAAGGCGAATAGCTTGCATTGGTGATGGTTTGGATCAGTTCAGAAGCCCCTTGTTGGATGTCTTATGTTGTGGTTTTGGTGGTTCAGCACTTGTCTTGTGTTTTGGTGTTGTCTTCTCATTTTTGGTCTCTTTTTCTCTCGTTGTTCACACTTTACCAAGTCGCATGTGGTGCCCAAATTTAAGAAGTTGTATGCCTTTAGCCTTTCTGAGCTGTCCCTGTGGTTGTCATTCTGGTCTAGTCGATCTTCTTAGACTTTGATAGTGCTCAAATTCCACTAATATTTTTCCTTTATTTTTTGTCAGGACTTCGACACAAAACCCACAGATGCAGACCCGGACTTTAGTGCAAGGCAGGGTGCCCCGAGTGAACCCAACCAGAATTTCTCGTGGATTTACGTGAGTGAAGGTGAGAAACCCCAGGAAAACACCTTGGCATTCCTGAATTGAAGCACCTGGCGATACATCACGCTGTGGAGGGTTGATTGATGGGGCTCTTGCTGAGGATTGCTCTGAGATTGAAGGAATGTGCTGACCATTGTGAGGACGGATTGTTGTCCATTTTGGGGCAAAAAAGGCTTATGCTTGGTTTTGGAATACATTATATGTACATGTTTTCACCCTCGTCAAAATGGCCCGGTCTTGGATGAAAATCACTATAGAGAAGATAAGATCTTAAGGCTATTCAAGCCTGAAATGGATTACATGTAGATCATGTTACAGGTTGAGAATATGATATTCAGTGCATTTGATGACTTCCTCCATGCTTAAATTTCTTGTACAAGTGCGACTGCATTTGCTTTGACACTTACATCACACTACTCCAGTGATATTCAGGCATGGCCGAAGTAACAACCCATCGAGTCTGTTATTTGAATGAGC